TCAGAACAGTTACCCAATGGATCATTGAATTTCATGGACTCTTTATCATTTCTTTTTAACCTTTTATTTTGTCTTAATCTTATGTCCAAAGATTTTTCATAAGTACAAAAAAAGTTATGTTGAATGATTTAATATAACAAAATAATTTTTTAACAACAATAATAAATATTGCCTTTAATATTAAATAAATTTTATTAAATAAAAAATTTTATTTAAATTTTTTTATTTTTCTTTTTGGTATAAGTTTTGCTCGAACCCAAGTGTTTGAGAGTAAAGATTAAAAATCATTTTTATTTTATTAGAATAACGCTAAGTAGAAATTTTTTTATTCTGAATATTTTTTTAATTTTTTATTATAAAATGTATTAATAATTTATTGCCCAGGGCTCATAATATAATCATGAAGATACTTTTAAAAATTAAAGAATTGTCAATTAATATAATAGAATTATAATATAAGTTTCCATAATTTATACAACTTACACCCAAACTTCTGTTAAGAGACTTATTCATGTAATTCGTTTTATTCATTACTAACAAATCAAAAACTAATAGCCTTAAGGAGGCCTAAATAAGAACATTAAGTCAACAAAAAACATCAATGATAACTTAACAATTTCAAAAATAAATAATAAAAAAAAAATATTACTATATTTACCTTTCCATTGCTTTAAATATCATTAATTAGTTCACAATCTATTAATGTTTCCTCATAGAATCTCGAGAATGTCGGGTCACCATATACAGGAAACCATAGACTTGGAACTTCATGGTAATAATTTTTACGATCGATCTGTATTATCTTCGTTTAGTAAGTGAATTCTTAATTTAAGATCAAATTTTAATAAAATAATAATACTGACCAAAAAAACAGCTGGGTTCCCAGGACTATCACATGTAATATAAGCTAATACAAGTGTTCTGTCTGTTTGCTCACAAACATAATAACTAAAAAAAAGATCAATGATTTAAGTTATCTATTTACAAAAGAAAATTATTATGAATTACTAACTCTTCATTTTTCAATTCTTGTATTTGCTTGGAACAGAAACTAGTTGGTTGCGCACCTGTTAAAAAAATAAATGTTAGTGACCTTGATAATTGTTAGGATGGATAAATAAACACATACCAGGGAAACTATAAATAAAATATATTTGATAAGAAAGTAAATCAGTTTGTTAATAGAAGAATAATCAAATGAAAACCTATATTACTAAAGAACGGTTATGTGACATGAAACAAAAAAATGCTAATTTCAGTTGATAATTATTTTGTTATTTTTGCAAATAACCGCTCCGAATACTTTGAATTAAAAAACAAAAAAACTACTAACTTCGATACTCCAACTAACTCTTCAACTCTTGACCTTAGTTTTTTAAGGCGTATAGATTCTACAGGATGTCCTGGGACTATTGGAACTATTGGAAAAAAGAAAAGGGAATCGTTAACGAGTGATCTGAGCAAAAATTATCATCATTGCGGATTTTTAATACTAGACTAGTAATACTCAAGTCTCTTTTTTTTGAACATAAGCAAATTGC